GGGTTGGTGCTACAGCACAAGGGTTTAGTGGAGTCCTCCTGGAAATCAGTAGGGAGCCCTCCTGGACTAAAACTCAGGATGTTTATTTTGGCTTAGAGTTTTGGAGTTTCTAGTCCATGGTTGGCTGGCTCCATTGGATTTAGGCCTCTGGTGGTGGCAGGCAGCAGGTGGAAGTACATACAATGATCAGGGCTTTATGTGAACAGCCTCCCTGATATGCAGGTGCAGGTACAGGTGCAGTCCATATGACTTATAGTGATTGCCCAGTTGGGCGAGCCTGACCTCAGAAAATACCACCACAGTGAAAATGGGAGTGCAGGCACCACTCTCTTGCATCCGTCCTACTGCTCGATAGACACATTCATGCCCATCAGCTGTTGCTTGGCCTTCCTTTGCTGTGTGTCTTCCCACTTGTGCTGGTCCCTTAGGCTCACTCTTATACTCAGTTCCTGTCTTACTTACTTACTTACTTCTTTCTGTTGTCCAGTGAGTCCCTTTGCCACCCTTCCCTGCTGGGGCTTGTGTGGGCCATTCCTGGTGTTTGGCTGTTACAGAGTGATGTAAACATCTGTCCTGCACCTTCCTCATGCACCTGGGGCAGGAGGGCTGGTTGCACCAATATGTTTGCTAAATGTGGAGACATCTAGTTACTTCCACTGGGTGATGGGGTCCCTGCCTGTCTCCTAGCACTCTGTGGGTCAGTCTTCTTCATTTCAGTCTTCTTAGTAGGTGGTAGTATCCATCTTCATTTCATTTTCATTTTTATGATGACTAGCGATGTTAGCCATCTTCCAACAGAGCTTCTTTGCTATCTGTGTTTTCTTTGGTGAAGGGTCTGTTCAAATGTAGCTTTTTTTTTGTCTTTTTCCTTTTTATCGGTACTGGGGATCGAACTCACGACTGCCTGCTTGCAAGGCAGGCGCTTATGCCGCTGAGCTAAATCCCCAGCCCCAACTTTTGTTTTTTTTTAATTTGGGTGGCTCATTTTCTTTTTTAGTTTTGAGGGTTTATATTCTGGAAATAAATATTTTATTAGATACATGCTTTATAAACCTGTCTCTGGAACTGTGAAAGTTTAGAAATTTTGATAGAGTCTAGTTTACCTTTTTTTTTTTTTTTTTTTTTTTACAATAGTGTTACGGTTTTCAGTCCATGAGGTATTTGGTTAGTCTTCGTATGTGATGTGAAGGTGTAGATCGAAGTCTTATCTGTTGTGGGTAGATGTCTGCCTTGGGAAGCTTTCCCCCAGGTATGGCTCTGCACTTGGTCATAGTCTGTGCTGCATGGGTGCAGGTCACTTGGTTCCATAGAGTATGTGCCCTGTGTGTCCCTGCAGCAGTCTTGGTGATAGGTATTATAGAGAGCCTGCCGCTCCAAGTGGCACACTGTTCTCCTCCAGGTTTACAAATGTGCTTGTCCTAACACTGCCTGACTCAGGAGTCGGCTGTGCCTCGGCTTGGGGCCCTTGGTGCTGCTCCTCTACCTGTCAGACCCCGTGCCTCCTGTCAGTCTCCCTCTTTCTCTTTACTTTCTTGAGTTCTGCTGCTGCTGATGGACTCATTGGCCTTGTTGTGCCTGGACTAGCCTAACTTGGCCATCTTTGTGGAGGATGCTTTTACTGGGTATCGAGCTGTGCCGGGCCAGACAGTTTCTCTCTGCTGCGTGTGTTGCTTGCTGAGTCCTCACAGCTGGGATTGAGAATGCTGTTGTGTCCTTGTCCTCACTTAACAATGGATTGTATACTCTTCCTTCTGGCCGTTTGCAGGAGTCAATGTGCTGCTGAGTTTCTTGATCTGTGGATTATAGTTTATGTCAAATCTGTGGATTATAGTTTATGTCAAATTTGGAAGTTTTTCAGTTGTCATTTTCTCAGGTGTGTCTTCTGCTCTCTATTCCTTTCCAGGGAGTGTGCTTCCTTGAGTCGTACTGTGTACCATTTTGCAGGTAACAGGCACTCTCACCAGTTTTTTAAAATTTTTCATTGTTTCAGTTTAGCTGTTTTCATTGATGTGTCTTCTAATTTACTAATCTTTCCTTCTGTAAGACAGTTATGTTGATTTCCTTCAGGGTTTTCATTTCAAACATTGTGGTTTCCAGCCTAGAAGGTTTCATGAGGTCTTTCTGAACATTTTTCTGACCTGTGGCTATATGACTTCTGAGTGTGTGGGTTCCATGAGACCATTGGCTGTAGCTATGCTTACCAGCTACAGGGCCATGTCAGTTCTGGTTGGGCCAAGAAGCCATGGTTCCTGCTCCTTGTACTGCTCAGCTCAGCCTAGGACAGCTACTGACTTGAAGTCCATGTGGTTGCTCTGGGTTTGCTTTCCTTCTGATTAGATGTGTCTGGAGCAGTTACCAGTGCAGAGGTGATTACCATCCCCACTAAGGTGACCCTCTCCTGTAGCCCATGGCTGTAGACAAATCCCTACTTCTGTCCTGACCAGTTAGGTGGGCCTTAGCTTGGTGGTGCTTTCCCACAGTAGTGGGGAACAGATGTCCTATGGAAAGGCAAGCGTTCCCATGCTAATGCCCACTGGTGTCCTATGGAAAGACATACTCTATGCCAGTTACCACTCGTGTCCATGGAAAGACGTAAGTCCCCACATTACTGCCTGCCAGTATCCCATAAAAAGACACAGATCTCCATGCCAGTTCTCACTGATATCCTGTGGAAAGGCAGAGATTCCATGGTTGTGCCCACTGGTGTCTTGTGGAAAGGCACAAGTAGGTCCCCATGCCAGTGCCCACTGGTGTCCTGTGAAAAGGCAAAAGTTTCATAGCAGTGCCTTCTGGCATTCAGTGGAGAGGCCCAGGTCTTTAGAGTTCCTCTCTCTGAACATTAGGGCTCTGTGCTGTTGAGAGCTGGATGTTCTGGCTCCTCTGCCTTCTTCCTCCATGACTGATGTGTGTTATTTGACAGTTGTGGCTTCCCATGCTGCCATCCTCTTCTCTTCAGTGGATCACGTGTCCAGTCAGGTCCAGACCTGTGTTGTTCTAGAAATAAGAGTGCTCAGAAAGCACAGACAAGCACTCTAGCCTTCAGGGCCAGGCGATGGAGCAGTCCCAAGAGAGGAGGGTCTGGGGCAAATTGGAAGTTCTCTTAACGTGTGATTTGGGTTATAAAATAATGGATTATTCTGATAAAGGAAAAGGTGCTTCCAAAGAAACATGATTTTGTTTAGTGCTCAGATGTGTAGATGATGATCACTCAAAGATCAAAAAGTAGAAAGCCACTTAAGAATGATCACTAGAAAAGAGAGCCCCAGCCACTGTATGGTTTTTTGGAAATAGGAGCATTGACAAAGGAGTTTGTTTTTAGCTTTTCTTTAGAAATTAAAGTAGCAGTAAAGCTGTAATGCAGCTGCTGATTGTTTATGGCTGAAGACAACAGATAAGACCTTGCCGTCTCTGCGCTGCTTTTATCTTTCTTTTATGTTCACTGAGCTGAGAAGCCCTGCCTATAGCCTGCTACTTGGTCTTTGTGGGGAGATTGTTGGATTGTGCTAGTGCACCCATGTGTCACAGATGAGCTAGGAACATCCCTGGGGCTTGCAGAATCAGGTCTGGGATGGGGCTAGGCACTGTTCCTCATGCAGAATGGTAGAGTGAAGGCCTGCCTGAGTGGAGAGGGGTTGCGTAGAGGTCCTTGCAACTTTGCCTAGGGGTCACTAATGCTTCCTGAGGGAGAGGAGCCCTCAGTGCGCTGTTCAGCAGGCTCTGCTAGCAGAGTGGAAAACTTTCCTGTCCATTTATGTTTACCCCTGAGACCAGCAGCCCACTCTGAGGGCTTCAAAATAATTCAGAAAAAGAAAAGGGCTTTATATTATATTAAAGCATTATATTCCAGGGGAGAAAACAGGTGAACAGAGTGAGTAAAGGGAATGTAAGTTGTGAGGTGTGGGCCAAGGGAATTGCCCTTCAGTATGAGGCTTTGGTGAGCACTTGCTGTTGTGCCTATAGGAGTGATAGGTGTCTCTCTGCTCCCCTGCAGAGCCAAGAGTCCTCCTATTAATGTTTACTCTTCAGCCTTTTCTTCTGTAAGATGTTTATGATTTCACACACTTTGCACATTTTTACCAGAACTGTAACATTCCAGTAAACTTACTATATAATTATAACTTACATATTTCACATGTGATACAAGTAGTCTTCCAAGTTTTTTTTAAACTTTTTACTTCATAGAGGTTTTTAAGGCAATTTCTATTGTGATCAGATCTTGATTTCTGATCTCACAAAAGAATTACTCAAGCTTATATAGCTTCATTTAGGAATGAATACCACTTTTTAAAACTAGCTAGAAGAAAAATGTCCCATCTTGCACATTATTTAATATGTTTAGAGCATTCTGGCTATGTGTGAGGGTTTTTTCATTTTTAAAGTCTTGTGTGTCTGTGTGTGTGTGTGTGTGTGTGTGTGTGTGTGTGTCTTTTTTGAGACGGGGTCTCGCTGTGCAGTTCAGGCTGGCCTTGAGCTCACTTTGTAGCCCAGGCTGGTCTCAAACTCAACGTTCCTCCCACGTCAGTCTCCCTAGTGCTGGGATTACAGGCGTGAGCCACTTCGTCCGGCTAAAGTTTTCTATATTGTGTTACTCTTAAATGAAAAAATAGAAGAGAAAAGAATGCTGTATAGTAGTGGCGAGCACACTGGTGTCCACCCCTGAGCCAAGTTACGCCAGCAGCCAAGCATCAGATAAGTTTTTTTTTTTTTTTAAACTAAAACGTTAGTGTGTAAGTTAATTGGTGATATTGGCACTTTGTAGTAAATAAGTGGGTTTGGGGTTGCTCTTTGGGTTCTCGGTCTCCAGCAACTTCACCATCTCTGCCTTAGAGTTCAGGGAGGAACATTCTTTTTTCTGGTGAACTGGAATGCCCCTTTCTACTTGCTAGGGCTGGGAGCGGCCCACTAGGCTCCTGGGTTTCTCCTTGGGCCTGCAGGTGGAGCAGCTGCCTGCTCCTAGCCAGGTGTGTTCCTTACCGCCTCCCACATGTGTCTCTGTTCAGGAGGAGAACATTTGTCTGCACTGGGCAGCCTTTTCAGGCTGTGTGGACATAGCAGAGATTCTGCTAGCCGCCAAGTGTGACCTGCATGCTGTGAACATCCATGGGGACTCACCCCTACACATTGCCGCCCGGGAGAACCGCTACGACTGTGTTGTGTGAGTGTGACCCCGCCTGGAGGCTGCTGAGGGGTTCTGTCTGTATGGGCCTGGAGCCAGTGTAGCCCTGTGCCCCTTGGGATTCTGCTGGTGGAGAGATATCTTTCTCAGTCCACATTTGAGACTTACTGTGGCTTACTGCTGGCTGAGAGCGGGTTGTATGAAAAGTTCTCAATTCTTACCTTGGAGATTGTGCAGAGTCTCACCTGACACTCCTCCTGAGAAGCAGCATGGGAACAGTTCTGCTCTGCCTGGATTCCCACTGTTCTGATGGTCGGTGGGAGTCCTCCCCACATACGGACCTGGAGATGGTGGCAGTGTCTTCGCTGGCCACTCAAGGTCCTTTTAGCCATGAGGTCAACTTCCTGCCTTTACAGGTGGGTTGTGGCTGGGTCCTGATAGAGCCTTGCTCTGCCTTTGGATCAGGACAGAAGTTTGGCTGCTGCTCATATTAGCAGGCACCTGCAACAGGGCTAACCTTACCTGGAAATAGGAGCTGAATGCTTTCTTTGGCTCCTGCAGGTGGATGCATACTTCCAGGTCTATACTGTCCCTTCAGCATCCTTGCCTGTACTCAAAGTCCACACTTCTCTTCTCTCAAACCCCAACCTGGCCCAATCGTGGAGGGTAGATTTGGAAGAGGAATCAAACCCCAAGTCTGGTTCTTAAATGCTCTCCCGGCTGACTGTCTGATGAGAGGAGCAAGCTATAGGGGTGCAGTGCACGTGTTGAGGGCTCTTCAAGATGGTTAGTGTGTGTTGTTCCTAGTAAGTATTTTAAAAGTCACCAGTATATATCTTTTAAATTAAGATTTAGATGTTTTGTTGGCTTACATTTTTCCTTTTAGCCTCTTTCTTTCTCGGGATTCAGATGTCACCTTAAAAAACAAGGAAGGAGAGACACCTCTGCAGTGTGCTAGCCTCAACTCCCAGGTGTGGAGTGCCCTGCAGGTGAGCAAGGCGCTGCGAGACTCAGCCCCTGACAAGCCTGCTGCGGTGGAGAAGATTGTGAGCAGGTAAGTAGGTTCCAGAACCAAGGTGGCTCTAGCATAACTCATTGACAGCAGGGCTAGAAGAACTTGGAGTGAATGCATATGCTGGAGCCAGAGCCCAACTTGTCTGGGTGGGTGCCAGGCAGAGGTCGTGTCTCCTTTGGGGCAGAAATGAGAGCTGGTAGTCAGCAGCCTCTCTTTCCTGTGCAGAGACATTGCACGAGGGTATGAGCGCGTCCCCATCCCCTGTGTCAACGCAGTGGACAGTGAGCCATGCCCCAGCAACTACAAGTACGTGTCTCAGAACTGTGTGACATCTCCCATGAACATCGACAGGAACATCACCCATCTACAGGTTGGTGGGTGAGCAGGGTTTTGGGGCAGGGTGGGGTGGCCCTTGGGTCTGAGTGCTGGGCTCTTCTCAGCACTCGCAAAGACCATGCTCTCAGCAGTTTCCTCCTCTGAGGATGTGGAAGGCAGATGAAGAGCCTCTAGAAAAAGTATCCACACTCTTGAGAAGCTAAGGCAGGAGGATCACAAGTTGAAGCCCAGCCCGGGCAGCTTAGCAACTGTCAAAACAAAAAATCAAAAGGGCTGAGATTGTAGTCTTGGGCTTAGTCCCTCAGTACTTAAAAAAACAACCCACAGCTCTGGGTGTTCCCAGTCAGTGGTGACTTAGGACCCTGGGCTGCTTGGTCCTCAGGGAGTGAACGCGGAGCCCCCTGCAGGGCACAGTCCAGAAAGTGCCACCTTTCCCAACTCTGAGGTCACACAGGATCCTGAGAAGCTACCATCTACTTTTTCCTTTCTTCTCTGTCTCAAATTAGACATATTCTCCAAAACCATCCTATGATTGTGCTGGTGCACAGCCCCCTGTCATAGGATGGGCAGTGTGGGCCTTGGGCAGGAGTCATGGGGCCTGAGCATCACCAGTCCCTCCTTGGAGGGGTTGGACCTGGCTGACCTCCCCCCTCCTCTCCTACCAGCACTTGAGTCTTTCCTCATGTCCTGAGCATTTTCTCGTGCTCTCCTGAGAAAACCTGTTGATGAGGGGTGGTTCTGTGGGCGTGCAGAGTATCTCATGTGCCCCTGTGCCTGATGGGCTGTGCTTTCTGTTCCCAGTACTGCGTGTGCACAGATGACTGCTCCTCCAGCACCTGCATGTGTGGCCAGCTCAGCATGCGCTGCTGGTACGATAAGGTGAGGGTTACGCATTGGCCACTCGAGTTTGTGGGGTGAGTGCTGACTGAACTGGTGCCCATGTCTTGTATGTTTGGAGGAGGAGTTGGAGGTGAACCAGTGTGAAAGCCAGGCAGAAGAGAAAAACAGGTTGGAAGTGAAGAGGTGCCCTAAGCAGCTACAAAACTGAGGTCTAGACTCCAGAGGTCCGGGTCAGTGGCCTTTGTGCTGCTGGATAGTGGATGGAGGGTCTGGCCTGGCCCTGGGAGGAAATAGTCTCTCTTCATTGTGTCTGATGAGCCCTGCAGAAGCTGGATAGATGAGTAGGTATAGCTAGGCCTGGTCGCCAGAGAAGTTGTGGGCTTGGGACCCAAGGGTCTGGGTGGGAGGTACAGGGAGCTGGTGTGCAGTTCGGGATAGGCCATCAGTATCAACGGTAGGAGCAGTAGAAGTAGGCCAGGTGAGGACAGCAGCAAGTTCCTTCCAGGGGACTTTAGAGGACAGATGCACAGAGAGGGGCCTTTGTTGTCTGACAGGGAGAACACAGGGTAGAGGGGTTGGTTAGTGGTGGCCGTGAAGCGTAGGCCACATGCAGCAGTCAGGAGCAAGCTCCTATTGCTTGGATGCCCCAAATCTTGCATGGCCCTCTGTGTTGTCTGTGCGTAGTGGGGGTTGGGCAGTGGCCAAGTCTCCCAAATGTGGGGACTGGCAAGGCTGAGAGTTTAGGAGGCACAGACCACCCCAGAGGGAGAATGGGACCATGAAAGGCAGGGGCAGGAGGTCAGGACTGCAGTATGACTGAGCAGCAGTTCAGGGAGGCCTCCCCTGCACACCCCCACTGCACTCTGACCTAGAGCTCTCCAGGGTTAAAAGTTGGAAGCCACACCAGGAACTTTATAAACAGATGTTGATAGCAGTTGATTTAAAAAGAAAGATGATGGACACTGAGGGCCTTCGTGGCTGTCTGTCCACAGGATGGCCGGCTCCTGCCCGAATTCAACATGGCAGAGCCTCCCCTGATCTTCGAGTGCAACCATGCCTGCTCCTGCTGGAGGAACTGTCGGAATCGCGTCGTGCAGAATGGGCTCAGGTGAGGGTGCTGCATCCTGGGCCATGCCACTTGGTGTGCAAGCCTGTGTGTTTGCACCACAGTTGATGCCTTGTGCACTGGAAAGGTTCTCTGGGCTGGCTCAGACTCGGACTGGAGAGAAGGAGGATGTTGGGTCTTTGGAGCCAAAATCAGAGAGACCAACATGGCTGTGTTCACTGCCACCATTTCAGTGAATTGGACTTATTCACTGTTGTAGAGCTCATTTTCACTTTCCAGTTTTTTGGGCTTCTCTAGTGGACAGTAGCGGTATCTGACAACCTCTCAGACTGCTGGCTCCTTCCTGAGACATTCATAGTGCTTGACCCTTGTATGCTTTCAGCCAGGGTCAGGTTTTAGTATCAGCCACCTGGGTGGAGGAGGACAGACTGTGGGTGACCAGCCCATATTTCTCGCTCCAGAACAGAACAGAAACCCCTTCCCCTACTCCAAAGTGATGGCACTGCCCAGGCTGCTGACATTATGTGTTAGTTCCCATGGCAACCAAGTCAACTAGGCCAGGTGCAGATAAGGCGACTGAGGCACAGCTAAGGCCACCATGTTCTGTGCTTTGACATGCTGAGCACTTTCCACACAGCTTCTGAGTATTCTGAGATGAGAAGCCAGTGTTTCTCTCCCTGCTTGCTCATAGCCCTCATTTCTGAATGTGACAGGACCTGGACTGTGCTGAACCCGAACCCCCTTCCCTTTTTGCTGTTTTCCAGGGCAAGGCTGCAGCTCTATCGGACACAGGATGTGGGCTGGGGTGTGCGAACCCTACAGGACATCCCCGTGGGCACCTTCGTCTGCGAGTACGTGGGTCCTGTTGCCCAGGAAGGCTGACTGCATGTGTCATTTCTGGGGTGATACGTGTTGTCTGCATTGCAGAACGCTTTTGGGAGCAGGCACCCAACTCCCACAGCAGTGGGTGCGGAACAGAGAGGCCCTGGCTGTTGAGGTTCTCAAGCAGTCACTGGCCAGCTGCCCAGACACCAGCTTCACATTCTCTCAGCCTCCAGTTGCTGCCCATTGTCTACCCCCAGTCACTGTCATACCTCTTGGTTACCTGGGACAGATGTCCTGTATAGTGCTGGTCATGTGGTAGCCCATCCTGGTCTTCAGTCCCACAGCGGACGTGAGCCTATGGTGTTGCCTGGTGTCTGCAGAACATTGGTTCTCCCTTGCACTATTCTCCACATGATGGCATGGAGATGGCATATGCCTGGGTGTACTCAGCATCCTCTTTTCTCCCTGCAGGTATGTTGGAGAGCTGATCTCTGACTCAGAAGCTGACGTTAGGGAAGAAGACTCTTATCTCTTTGACCTTGATAATAAGGTACTGGTGCTTTGAAGGGCTGAGGCATAAGGAGCCAGTTGTGAACAACTGAACATGAGTAGTTTGTTCTGTCCAGGGCCTGGGTAGTACCTGGTGAAGCCAGTCCTGGAGACCAACAGAGAACAAGCACCTGCTGTTGATCAGTGGCAATACTCAGGCTACCCTGGGCTCAGTGCTCCACGTGTGGCCCCCGAATGGGGAGGTCTGTGCTCATGCAGTGAGCCACCTACCAAGAGCCCCAGCTGTTGCTCTGGGCTGGAGCCCAGCAGGCTTGAGTCTGTCAGAGGCTGATGAGACTGTGTATGTGAGCAGGCATTGCACATATGTATAAAAGAGCTGCCAGGCATGTCCTTCATGTCCCAGTTGACCTCTATGGTGCTGGAGTCATGTGCTGGGAGAACAGAGGCCAGGGCTAGGTTGGTTCTAGGGCTTGATTTTTTTTTTTTTTTTTTTTTGTCTTTTTCGTTTTTTTATTGGTACCAGGGATCGAACTCATGACTGCCTGCTTCCAAGGCAGGCGCTTATGCCGCTGAGCTAAATCCCCAGCCCCGATTTATTATTATTATTATTATTATTATTATTATTATTATTATTATTATTATTTTTGGTATTGGGGATTGAACTTGCAACCCCACATTTGCCAGGCAGGTGCATATGCCTCTGAGCTAAATCCCTAGCCCTAGGGCTCGATTTCTGAGACATCCAGGCTAGAGTTCAGTGGCTTGGACCCAGCTCAGCCCATTGATTCTTCTATGTCCCCAGCCTTGTCTCCGGTCCCTGCAGTCACCTTCTAGGACATAAACTGTAACCTCAGTATTCAGGTTCAATTCACTTTGTGACTAATAAGTGGGTTTTGAGTTGCAATTTGGGGTCTTGGTCTCTAAGCATCAGCTTTAGTGAAATGATGTGTTTGCCCAAAGAGAAGATGAGTGCTGGAAGTTTACTCTCACAGGTATTTACAGTGACACCAACTCTCAAGTGATAGCATCTTCTGCCCTTTTTATGTGTGTGCCTAGCATGTACCTGTGCATATACAGTATACTCACCTAGGGGTGATGACTGTGGAAGGGCCTCTCTTGGCACTGCCTGTTAGTCTTTCTAGGATTGTCCTCCTGGCGGCTGGAGGCCTGTGTCATGGTGGATGCGCTGTCGCCAGTGGGTGCCTCAAGTATTGTTTATCTCCTATGGTTTCTTTCTTTCTTTCTTTCTTTCTTTCTTTCTTTCTTTCTTTCTTTCTTTCTTTCTTTCTCTCTCTCTCTCTCTCTCTCTCTCTCTCTTTCTCTCTCTCTTTCTTTCTTTCTTTCTTTCTTTCTTTCTTTCTTTCTTTCTTTCTTTCTTTCTCTTTCTAGTAACGTCTTCTAGTTAGCAGAGGTTCTTGTTGTCTGGTTTATCAGTCTCCTGCTTAGAGGGCTTTTCTAATATCTGAGTTGGTACCTGGCCTGTCTCTATGCTCTATGCCCACGTCAAGTGACTCTGTCTGTTTGAATCCATGTGCCCACACCCAGGCCCTTGAAATTTCTGGTTTTGCCTCCAGGAACAAATCTGTCATGACTCTCTGTGGCTGTTCTCTGTGCAAGAGTTTTCCTTTCTCTTGGTAAACACCTGGGAGTAGAGTTGCCAGGTCATGTGGTAAAGGTACATTTGACTTAAGATGCATTTTCTGAAGTGGTCCTAATGCTAACCATTTTTACCAGCTACAAATGAGTTGTGGCCACTATAATTATAATTTGTGTTTTCTTAGTGGTTGATGATATTGAGCATCTTTTCATGTGTTTATTGAATATCCTCAGGTCTTCTGTGAGGCATTTTTAAATTCACTGCCCATTCTTCATGGGGCTGCTTATGGTCTTGGGTAGGAGGAGCTATTCATGTATTGTTGAGTCATGTAGTAGTCAGGTCTTTGGATTCAGCATGTGCTATATTTCTGCCCAGCCTGCCCCTTTCCTCCTGATTTTTTTTGACAGTGTTTCAAGGAGCAGAACTTTTTTTATTGTTTGTGCTTTCTGCAGTCTAGGGAATCCTTGTCTACCCAATGGTCCTGAGGATTTTTTTTCCATGTTTTTCTCTAAAAGTTTTGTTTTGAGTCTTTATCTGTGCTGATCAGGCCTCATTGTATAGTCTGAGATGTGGCTGGCCTGTTCCTTTCATGTGACTTACGTATAGTCCATCCAGCACCTTGATCTGAGATATCACTGCCTTTGTGTTCCTTTGTCCTGTGTGCCTGTGGCCCTCACACCAGCACCAACATGCTCTGGTGCTGATGATGGTGGAGGTTTATTAAAACTTAGGGCCAGTCCTCCTTAGACTGTTCTTTTTCCAAGCCCTGTTAACTCTTAGACCTTTCCTTCCGTAGGAACCAGTGTGCTAACATGCACAGAAATTGTAGGGTTATGATGATGGTTGTGCTGAATCTCAGTGCCTGGGCCCTGGTGTCCTGGCAGTGACGTGGGAGACCCTCCATTGGATTGGACCTGTGCTCTCTCTGAGCAGAGCCTTTCTGTTCTGCAGTATATAGATTGTTACATACCTATTGTTACATTTATTTCCAGTAAAGAGTATTGCTTTCCTATCTCATTTTCCTGTTGTTTGTGGCTATCCTTGGAATAGTAGATTTTCTGTACATTAATCTTGTTAAATTCACTCTCAATTCTGGCAGCTTTTTGGAATATTCTTTAGGAGGCCTGCACATGTGAGGGCATCCTGTGTGAGCACAGCTTGCTTTGTGTCTCTAGGGTTTGCCCTGCAATGGGTGTGACTGGGCCCCTTGCTCATCTTGGTACTGTTGCTGGAAAGCCTGCATCTGCCCTGCAGCAGGTGGTAGGGCCAGGCCACCTGCAAGCACTCACATGTTGCTAGGACTCAGTGCTATGGCAGTCAATGGGACCCAGCCCTCAATGCTGCTGGCAGGGTGGCCAGAGCACACCTTTTCCACAGCGCTCCTCACATGTGCCAGGCTTCTCCTCCCCTTCCTGGTACATGGCCACCCCTGAGCCTCCTGCGCTACATTTCTGCCTTTACAGAATAACAGAAATGGTTCTTTTTGCTCATATAAAAAGCCATTAATAAAAAGATAATAATAATTGTAAAAAAGCCATGAATATAACATAGCCTTTTGGTTACCTGGTCCAGACCTCAGTCTATGTTCATCTGGCCTGACCAAACCTCTTACCTGCCCCTCTTACCTCCCATCCTGTGCTCCTTCCCCACCCCATACGGCATATCTGGGTAAGGTCTAGATGGGGATGTTTTGAGGAGAGAAACTCTCAAGGAGCCACGTATGGGTCAGAAGGTCCATCCGAAACAGGTCCTTGAGAACTTTGGTGTCGGGAGCTACAGAGCACAGGAGTGAGGGCAATGAGGCCATGTCCCAGGGCGAGGGAGGCAGTATCACCCAGGGAGGCCATTGTGGCTGAGCATGGTCAGGTCTGGGAGATCCGCTGTTCCAAGGACAGGGTGAGTGCTCATTGCAAAACAGAAGGTTTCCAGGGTGGGAGGAGGATTGTTTTACACTTCTACAGAGTCATCTCTGGGCTTGGAGGTGGAGGACAGTCTGCCTATAGGGGCTCAGGTCCACAATCAGCCATGGATGCTTGTGCACTGATGGGTAGCCGGACCTCTGCTGAGCACAAGATGTAGGCAGCACCAACTGCCAGGCCCAGGTGTGTGCAGAGCTGAGTGGCCGGATGTACTGCAGTGTGATGGGCAAGCCAGACTCTTGGACATGTGCCCCCACCCCCACATCCTTTTCTCTTCATGTTGGGGGCTTTTCCTGCTTTCTTCTTGTCACCTGCCTGGCATCTGTGCTCATACTGCCCCTTCCATGCTGCCCTTTTCTAATTTTAAGGTCAGTCAGGTTTCTTGTTCAGTAAAAGAAAGAAAAGGGATCTACTTTGTTGCACCTCCCCTTTAGTGATTTCTTCTTCTGTCTGGTCCTGTGCTGTGTTCAGAGCTGCAGTGAGGGTGATGAGACCCTTGCAGCATGCTCTAGGTGTGACAGTTGTCAGTATCGTGTTTATTTCACTTGTTTTCCTTTCTTTTGATGTAACCTGGAATTTGTCACAAACAGCTCCCATCAGCAAGTGCTATGACAGTGCTGTGCTGTTGCCGGCCAACAGGTGGCTGTCCCCAGTCTTTCTGCCAGCCATCCAGGACGAGTGGGGGGCCTGTGAGGCTCTTCCCATGCAAAGCAGTACCCAGCACCTCACACTGTCCCCTATTAAACAGATGGCACTATCTAACATGGGTGTCCTGTGGATCCCTGCTGAGCAGGGGGAGGGCTGGAGCATGTCCTCCCTATGCTGTCCCAGAAGGAACATTGTGGTGTCAGAGTCCGTGTCCCTGAGATGGGGGCACTCCACACTTGTCCCCCTTGCCTGCTGTCCCTGTACCGTAGAGAACAGGCTGTTGGTCATGGGTGCCTAGCATGCCTTCCACACTTACTAAAGGGAGTTTTTTTTCCCCAAGAAAACACAAAAGCCTTCCCACGCATGCTGGCGGTCTGGTCTCGCTGGCAGGCGTCAGACACCTCACTCTTACCATTCAGTTCCCAGTTTGTAGCATGAGGAGGAGGCTTAAAAACTACCCATTCTAACAAAGGTTTGGTCTTTTTTCTTTTCCTTTTCTTTGATTACTGTGCATCTCTTTTTTTTAATGTGTGTCTTAATCAATTCTTCACTAATCTGCAGTTGTCACTTGCTGGCCTCCTCCTGCTCCATCATGCGTCTCGTTGCTTTTTGCCACCAACAGGGTTCCTCTCTTCAGCCCTTCTTCACACTTGGAATTAGCCATTTCTCTCAAATGCCTTTTCCTTTGATGGGAGAATGATTTCAGATAAAATCAAATACTGACTACTTATTTCTGTCAGGTATCACTGACTGTAGACCCTGTTCTTAGAGAACAAAATGACAGAACAAGCCTATATTTAACTATGCATTCATTCATTCATGCTAATGATTATAGAACAGGGGTTTTACCCTGTTTTTCTCTTTTTCTTTTCTTTTCCTCTCTCACTCACTAGCTTTTTGCTTCATACTTGTATTGCTTACAGTGAAAAAGTTCATTCTTTTTTTTTTTTGCACTACCAAGGATCAAACTCATGACCTCGTGCTTACCAGGCAGGAGCTAAATCCCCAGCCCCAAAACAGTTCTTTCTTAAAACCCCTACTTTCAGAGCAGCATAGTATAGCAGTGCTACAGTGACAGTAAATGTGATCTGTTTACAGGAGCAGTGTTGCCATGGTGGCAGAGAATACAGTGTGATTGTCAAAGGGTGTTGACCATATTGCTGTGCATAGAGAAAGCTGTGCAGTTATTCAGGTAGTTGATGGTGTTGCCGTGGTGACAGCAAATGAAGTGTGGTTACTGAGTGGTGTTAACTGCATTGCCGTGGTGGCAGGGAATGCTGTGTGGGACTTTGATGGTGTTGCCATGGTGACAGGGATACACTGAAATTACAAGATGTGTATGGTGACAGTGATGCAGTGTGGTTACCAAAAGGGCATTGCTGTGATGGCTGGAAATGGAATGCCGTTATCAAGATACGTAGGTGGTGTTGCCACAGTACCAGGGAATCCAGTTACTCAGTCATTGTTGATGGTGCTGCCTTGGTGACAGTGATTGCAGTATGGCTGTTGGGTAAGGGGTATCGCTAGTGCTGCCCCAGTGGCAGAGATTGTGGCAAGATTACTGTCTTGGTTACTTTTCTCTTGTTGCTGAGACAAAATGCCTGATGGCCAAAATTAATGAAGAAAAGGTGTATTTAGCTCACAGTTTGTGGAGGTTTCAATCCATATTCTGCTGGGCTCAAGGCAAGATGGCTCATGGCATAAGGTGGTAGAAAACAGCAAAAGCAGCCAAAGCAAAAGGGGAGGAATGTGAGAGAAGACTCTTTCTGTCCCTTATATTGGAATGCAGGCCACATACACCTTAGGGTGGGTACATCATTCATACTTAGAATATCAGCACTAGACAATAAATCAATCACAAACTAGATTTAGCTGCCTCCATGACTGTATGAGGCTTTGGGGGAACATCTAGACACAAACCCTAACAGTTACCAAGGGACATTTGCCTGTTCTACAATGGCAAAGGGTCCAGTGCAATTACTAGCTGATGTTGACAGTTTCTTTACAGGGTTTTGGTCTTTGGAATAAATCCCACTGCAGAAGTGTAACTGTTATGTAGCACTTGAAGTAATTGTTCCTCTGCACAGTTTTGTTACCAATATGAAATTCAGCTGTGTTAATGTATTTTCATTCATTTTAATTTTTTATTTTACAAAAGATTGATTTACGTGCTTTAAGAATCATGAACTGCTGAGGCAGGAAGATCACAAGTTTGAATACATCCTGCAACTTAGCAAGACCTTATCTCAAAACAAAAAATTAATAATGGTTGGAGAAGGCCCTGGGTTCAATTCCCAGTTCCACAAAAGATAAAAAAGTAAGACTTGCATAAGAGAAGAGCCTTGTGCTGTCCAAGTTCTCCTGTTCTGTGTCAGGCTTCTGTGGAAACACCACAGGCGGGCTGAAGTCCTACGCCTGGACACTGCTGGCTCCCGGCCAGTACCTTCTCCCATTCTCCATGTGGTGTGTGTGGTGAGGAGCTCTTTGACCCCATCAGATCTCTGCCCCGGGGTCCACTCAGCTCCCCAAGCTCCACCTCCCAACACTGTCTCCCCGTGGAAGAATTTCTACTAGAAATTTGAAGGCAATAGACATTGACCATATAGCACCCTGACAGGTACCCACCCATGTGTAAATTACATGAAAAATACTTTGCTGAATTTCTTCCTCCTCCTATGTTCACACAGGAGCAGGAATCTGTGTGTTTCACCCTACACCTTGCACCTTCCTGTGTTTCCAAGTCAGCCTGGTGCAGTCCAGGGCCAGTCTTGACTGGCTCCCGTCTGTCTGGAGCATGTTTGTACTCATGCCTTTCTGTGTTGGTTATGTGGGTTGGTGATGCTGATTTGGAGAGAATCATCGCTTTCTCTGAAGTGTTATCTTGTCTTGTTTATTGGCGTGCTTTGCATGTGCGGCTCTGGTCTCTGGCCTGGCCATCTCCCTGTCAGCTCATCCTCCTCCATGAGGCCATTGACCATCTCTGTGTCTCTGTTCAGGTCTTTTGAGGCTGCTTTTAGCCTGGCTTCTTCAGCCAGAGGTATTGGGCAGTCTTGACCTCCTACAAAGGGTCCAACCCTGGACTCTAGCAGCCAGTCCCCAGCCTGTGTGGCCTGCCACCGTGCCCAGCCTCCTGCAGGCACCTTAAATCTCTGTGGCTGGTAGTTTTAGGGCGCTTTCTACAGAGCCGGGGTCATTTGTCAGTTCTTAACTTCATCACACCCACAGACAGAGGCCCAAGCCTGCCATCTGAGGTCGTGGAGCCATGACATCAGTTGGGCAGGCCTGGGACAAGGGTAGCTGTGTCCTTGGTTTCGGTGGTGGTTGCCACATTTTCTCTGAGACTTGTTCCCTAGGGGACATTGATGGAGGTACTTATCTGCATGCACACAGCTCTGTACTGCTCCAGAGCTCTCCACTCTGCCATGTCCTAAGTTACCAGTGAGATCACTAGAGCGCGACCTCTTGCCCTCCTTTCTCCATGTTGATTTGAGCTTGGAGCTGTCTTATCTCAAGGATACCCCTGGCCTTCTGCTGAAGGCTTCTGTTGGTGACCAGGGACCTGGGACTCTCTATCTTCTGTTCCAGCTTACCTGACTAGACTTATCATGCAGGGCTGCAACTTAACAGGGTAAGCCAGCAGTCATAGAAGAGTTACAAGTGTGTAGTGTGCTTGGGCAGCTCCTTGGGGCTGAGCAGGACCGTGGTCCCTGCTAGGCCTCCTGTGTGCTGTGCAGCCCTGTCCAGGAGCAGCAGCCTCTCATACCTAGGGTCTCTGCGGAGAAAGAAGGCTCTTGGGTTGGTCCAGCCCTCTATCCTATCTATACCTTCCAATCTAATTGGAGTTCCTGTGATGGAATAAAGCCTCATGAGTGATGCAGGCCATCTGATACCCTAGACTCCTCTCAGTTCCCTGGGTTAGTAGACACCCATCTCTTGGGCTGTGGGAGTCAGTGCCATGTGGTCCTGTGTCTGCAGGTCATAGAAAGGGACCTTGATTGTGATAAGATCTGTGCTGCTGTGCTGCAGCTGAGGGCAGAGTGTCCTGGCTGTCAAGGGCTGGAGGCTCTGACAGACCTTTCTGCTTGCCAGGACGGAGAGGTGTACTGCATCGATGCACGCTTCTATGGTAATGTCAGCCGCTTCATCAACCACCACTGCGAGCCCAACCTCGTGCCGGTGCGTGTGTTCATGTCCCATCAGGACCTACGGTTCCCCCGGATTGCCTTCTTCAGCACCCGCCTGATCCATGCCGGAGAACAGCTGGGGTATGTGCAGCCGGGCCTGGGGGACAGTGTGGGAGTGGGTGGCCACTGGCTCAGCACATGGAGGTAGTGAGCACCGTCTTCATCCTCAGGTTCGACTACGGGGAGCGCTTCTGGGACATTAAAGGCAAGCTCTTCAGCTGCCGCTGTGGCTCCTCCAAGTGCCGGCACTCAAGTGCAGCCCTGGCACAGCGGCAGGCCAGCGCAGCTCAGGAGGCCCAGGAGCATGGCCTGCCAGACACCAGCTCTGCGGCTGCTGCTGACCCACTATGAGGTGCAGAGGGGCTGGGAGGGCCTGCCAACCGTGACTTAGAGGAGGTTCTGTCCGGAACATCTTCAGGGTCCCGCAGAGACCAGGGAGCGGACCCTTCCCAGGAGTGTCCGTTCTGAGGCCTCACACAAGCCCAGCACGGGGCTGGAGTGCACTCTGGCCCACATGCACCTCCGTGACCCTGGGACTCCACGGGGTGACCTTGTGGGCTTTGACAGTGGTCTTGTCCTTGCGATGGTTCTCATTTCCTCCTCTGGTCTCAGAAGTTCTCGCCCCACTACTTCGTTTGTTCTCCTGCCCAGCCCAACACCCGTGTGGCTCCCGCTGCAGCTGCTCCATGAGACCAGTGCCTCCTGTGCGGCTGGGCAGCTCCGGGGCTGCACACAGGACATGTCCACAGCCCCGAGTGGTCAGGGTGGCCCTGCCCTGGCTCTGGAGGAAACGTGGGCTTGCTTTTTAAAGATGCCCTCTCTCTGTGTACCAAGCCCTGCTGGCATTTCTGTGTGAGGGCTGGTGGGCAGGCAGACCCCACGCAGCCCCACCAGCTGCACCCATGCTGGCACCTTTTGTTGATTTTTAAGCCACATGCTATGATGATGAATAAACTGATTTATTTTCTACCATTACTGAACATTAGGACAAACAAAGAATAAAAACAGAAAACACAGACAACGGTGCTGAATCTGGTGTGGTTTCTACTCACCATGTGAAAATAAACTATCAACTGTAAAAAGAACAAAGTGATTTTAGAATTAAATGCAGGAAACACTTTTTTAAAATGTTAGCCTTGTAGTGTGAATAAATTTGCTGTCACCTTTTGTGTGACAGTCTGGCAGGTCATGTACTTTTTCGGCATATACCTTTCTAAATACTGTAATTAGTGCAGGGCAGTGGAGTTCTTTTCGTGTGACTCTTCTAAACATTCATAATGCAGTTATGTTTATTTTTTCTGTTAAAATGTTTTTGACGGTTTTAAGAGCAGTCTTTTGGCTCAGACCATTTCTTGTTCTGTTTTCAATGAAATCAATAAAAAAAAAAAAAAGAAGAACTGTAAGTGAAGTCTCATTATGATACCACATTTCTGCTGGTCTCCACAGAGCCCACCTTACCAGTTGGAGGACGTTCAGGCTCCTACCACCCAGGACCCAAACAGGCCCAGCCTGCACCCCACATAGTTGGTGCAACTTCCTCCTCTCCCAGCCCTGTCCCTGCAGAGGGGACATTAGCACACAACAGGAAGACCAGCGCATGAACGTGTCAGCACCAGGTGCACAGGCTGGGTGCCTTTCTGGAGCTGCAGGGCAGCCTGAGTGAATTCCCATGTGCGCTGTCGGCCCTGTAGCCCTGTGGACCAAAGCTTCGTGCTGTGCACTGCATGCAGGGCTGGCCTTTTCCCCATAGGAGCTTGTAAGCTCAATAAAAAATAGATCAAAAACTCTGTTTCCAATACATGGAATTCATTCAGGTAGGTATTTTCTAGAAGGATGGCAACATGTTGTGGGCAGCCCCACAGAGTGACCTGAGGCTCTGGTGCCAGCAGCAGGGGCAAGAAGTCAGATGTAATTGCACCACACAGAACACACAGTTTAGTGGCTAGCATCCTCGGTGCACCTGGACCTTGGCAGCTGTGGCCCTCACAGGCTTGAGGAGGGTTCTTCACAGCCCAGGGGGGTCAGAAAAGACCCAGCCAGGGCTTAGAGCTGTGGGCCAGGTGAACACCTTACCCAGCAGCATGATTGTGGCAGGAAGGCTCTGACCCAGAGCTGTGACATTGCTGATGCCATAGTTGGGCAGGGTTCTAGTGCTTTGCATGTGGACTGTCCACTTGCCCTAGATCTGGAGTTGGGTATGCAGATGGTGTGTGTTTAGCCAGGAGCCAGGCCAGCTGCAGTCTTCAGAGGCATCAGGAGACCTAGCAGACCTCATCACAGCTGATTCTGTCCCCTAACAGGGCATCCATCTCAGACAACAAAGAGTAGGTTGAGATGTCTATGGTCATCTGGGCTAAGAAGGCTGTCTATAGTAACACAGGTGTGGGCATCAAGCAAAGGTCTGGGCTCTAAGCAGGACATTGGGTCTTTTTCCTCTGACCCGTCACACCCAGTACAGATGCGAAGGTCTGGTTTTTCAAGACCAGTGTGCCCACCAATGTCTAGGCCTGGGCCTTGTGGCCAGGCCATTTTGTCCTGATGGTGTGAGCTGGGCCCCTTGGAATGTCCACCCCTAGCACTTCCCTATTAGGACCCTGAGTTCTGCTGTGCTGGGCCAGGTGTGGAATCCCCAGTGTCATCCTTCAAGCACAGGGCCCCTCAGGGCTTTCCATGGTATCCTGAGAGGACTTTGCTTCTGAGGGCAGCCACCTGGTCACACAGGCTGTTATGCCATGAACATCATGCCTGGTTATTACAAAAACCTAAACATGTAGAGCTAGAAGAAAATAAAACCCTCCAAAACTTATCCCTTGGCCACTGCTACCTGCATGGACCACAGCACACCAGTTGCATGTACAGCCTTGGCAGGAGCACTGCAATAAAGGTGCCAACGGGTGCATCCTAACCACGTGTGTCTGCACTGTCCACCGCTGCTGGGGGGACTTAGGGACAGTGCCATCCTCCCTAATAACAGCACCCTGAGATTCCTGTGCATCATCCTTTTCCATAGTGCAGTGATCTTCAGGAAGGGGCTTTAAGCACGCACATCCAATTGGGAAAGCAAAGCCAGGAAAAAGGTGAAAAAAAGAAGCTCCAGAGCTCTCTAGAGTGGAGTGGGGACACTGTGAAGCTTCCACTCACCTTGCACAAGTAGAAGCCACAGGACGTTTCTGGGCCGTGGAGGGACAGCTACAGCCAGCATGTGGGCTCGGGTCTCTGGGCCATACAGACCCAACTGACAGACAAGGTTTGCAGTGCATGGTGTTGGCCAGCCAGGACCTCCCTCTGCAAATGCTTCTTGGAGAGCTCCCCAGGGAACTAACTCCCTGGCTCTTGGCAAACCCAAAATTGCAAGTGTTTGTTTCCCAAATAAATGCTGTTTGTTTGACTTCCCATCTATGTTTCAGTTAACATCTAACTCTGGTCTCTGTCACAAAAGTGTCCCACAAGAAATGCGGACCAGCCTGTCCCCACCGGCAAGAGGCCTTGTCCCCACATCATAGATGGACCGCACTCCATTGTCAACTCTCCCGTCTTCTGTAGGACAAACTTCATGTGTTACTTTGCACTCCTTAGGTTATTGATTAAATTGACTTATTGTGCATTTCCTTTTTGTGAGCCACCGTCATGCAACTTGTGTTGTTGGCAATCTTTTGTAAGTTCTCTATATATTATGGATTTATGCCCTACTGATTCTAAATTTTATAAGTGGTAAAGTCTGGCTTGTGACTTCTGATTGTTAGAAAGGCCTTATCTACCCTGAATTTTAAAGATAACCAATGCTGGCTCTAGCTCTGTTTTAGTCTTGACTCTAGGTGGAACTTACTCTGTGAATGGTATGTGATGCAGATGGGAATTTCACATACCGAGGCATAATTCATAGACCAGAAGTGCGCAGCACTGTGAGCCTTGATGGGAGCCTTTGCCGAGTGACTTGCTGTCATCCAGACAGGGACTGTCCCCTCCCAGGGACATCCTCTGCTCCTTCCACGCCACCTGCCACCCTAAGAGGCACTGCTGGCTCCGAATCATTTTTTGCTGCTCTAGGATTCATGTTAGTGGACCACACAGCTGGCCACTCACTGTGGCTGCCCTGCTGATCTTTCCCAGAGCTTTACTCTACTGACCCTTCTCCAGTGTCGAAGAGATGTCCTTGCTAGGAACTTGTGGAGTTTGCTTATCATTCCTGTGCATGCTGTCCCGTCCAGCTTTGGCTGTCACCCCCTGAGGTATAGAGTGAGCCACCTACCAGTCACGGCCCTGCCCCTACCCTGAGTGTCCCAGCCTACTTTCGAGCAAGTGGAATTTACCTTTTGTTCCTTTTCTTGAATAGTGCTTTATCCTCAAGTGCCCCGAGGTATCTCCAGGTCCTTATTTCCCATATTCTTCCAAAGCTGTGATGCTATGATGACCTGACTGTGGTCTGAGAGTTCCCCAGGGGTTCACATGTTGAAGTATGAAGTGGTGGACCCTTTGGAATGGATGGGTGGAAAAAGGCATTAGGAGAGACCCATGGGCAAGCGCTAGTGGCTTTGTAAACAGGGACAGCTGAGGAGACACACAGACCCTGTAGTCTCCTGACCATATAGCTCCCAGAGGTCCCAGCAAGAGGCCTCCACCGGCTGTGGGCCCCCAGCCTGAAACCAGCACTGTGTGCCCAGATCAGCCCCTTCTGCTGTAAGCCTGCCTCAAGCATTTGAGAACTAAAACTTGGACTTACTGAGTGTGATGTCCATACCCACTAGAATTCATCTTTGTGACTGGGGTGAGGCAGGGATTGTGTTGCTTGTCATGAGATGTCCACCCCCATCTGCTGTTCTTCGGAGTCTTTCTCCCCCACCAAGTTGCCTGACTCCTCCAGAACACAAGGTGGCATGTGCACATGAACTCCTTAATTTCTGGACTGTTTTGTCCCACTGAGCTGTTTGCCATTCTTATTGCCATATTATCCTGTCGTTTTATTGGAGCCTTAAGTATCAAAATCGCACAGATGTCAGCTCTTATAAAAGAAGTTGAATAGAATTTCTTGAGCCTTCTGTTATTGGGGTATCATCTAATATAAAAAGAACCTGTTTTAAGGTGATGAGTGTCGGCAGATGTCATTATTCCATAACCAGCCTGAGACCATGAGGCACTGTTGTTGCCTGTGAGGCTCCCTGGAGCCCTTGGCCTCACCTCATCCAGGCTCGGGCATTTTTTGTGCCAGGATTTCCTATGGCACCTGGCAGGGTGTTCTTTTTTTTTTTTCTTTTTCTTCTTCTTCTTTGGTACCAGGGATTGAACTCATGACTGTGCGCTTGCAAAGCAGGTGCTTATGCCACTGAGCTAAATCCCAGTCCTGGGTGTTCTTTATCCATACATTCTTATATAAAATTGCTAGATGTGGAAGGCTTAGGCAGGAGGATCACTGTGGGTTTGAGGCCAGCCTGGCCTATAAAATGAGCTCAAGGCCAGCCTGCATTGCATAGTGAGATCCTATTTCAAAAAACCAAAAAGTAAATGAATGAATAATTACACAGCAGCGGCAGACCAGAACTTATTTGCATGCTCTGGTCCTGGGTTGCAGGCGCTGGTGCCAGCGGCTCAGTCCAGTGGGCTCCTTCCAAAGGTTAAGCCTCTCCCAGGACGCAGACCCCCAGGTCAGGAGGATGAGGCAGGAGCTTGGCTTGCCCCTGGAGGTTCTCTGGATTGAACTGAGCCACATCCTATCCTTCTTTATTTCTGTTTTGAGACAGTCTGGCTGTGTTTCCTAGAGTGGACTCAAACTTGCAGTCCTACCTCAGCCTCCCAAGGAGCTGCAGTCTCAGGCGCCCAGCAGGATCCTGACTTCTTTGGCTGTTTCCCCCCTCCCACCCACTCATTTGCCCTGTGCCTGGGCTCTGACCCTGGCTGTGCAGCTGCTGAGTCTACTGGGCCTCCCAATACTTTGCCATCTCATCTGTACACAGTAAGGTGCCCAGCTGTGAGCACCTCCCCCCAAACCCCTATGCTCCAGTACCTCCCCCCCAAAGCAGTTGGGCAACACAGCTGGTGCTTCTGTCACTTCCTCAAGGTCTCTCAGAGCCCACTAGGCCTGTCCTGACACCCTCTGCCCGTGGGCATACATGACCAGCCCTTGACCTTTTTTCCCAGCTCCTGTAGGTCTGGGACCTGGGCAGCTTTGCAGTTGGCTCCCCTGGGCTGGCCTCCATCTCTTTGCTCCTAAGTGCTGCCAGTCCCATCCTGTCACACTTCTTTGATGTCAGTACAGTGGACGCTCCCACAGTGCCCCCTCCACACTGGGTATATCCCCAGGTTGTCCCCTGCGAAGCCCCACCTGTGTCTGACTGGCAGCTGCTCCAGACACTTGGTGCACAGAAGGATGAGATGGGCATAGGTCCCTGGGCTTCTGATATAG